GCAGCTTCTTTGCCGGCTTTGGGTCAACCAACATCTTTCTTCAATGTTTGGGGTTTCCCAACCAATCTTTTTGTTTAGGGCTTCAGCATTGGCTTCAGGGTTTGGGGTTTTTCAATAGCAGCTTCTTTGCGGGCATTGGGTCGACCAACATCTCCTTTCCGGGTTTGGGGTTTCCCAGCCGTTCCATTTGTTTACGGTTTCAGCATCGGTTTTTAGGGTTTGGGGTTCTCAATAGCAGGTTAATTGCCGGATTTGAGGTTTCCCAGCCACTCCTTTTGTTTAGTGTTTCAGCATCGGCTTTTGGTGTGGGGTTTCTCAACAGCAGCTTCTTTGCCGGCGTTGGGTCAACCAACATCTCTTTTAGGGTTTGGCGTTTCCCAGCCATTGCTTTCGTTCAGGGTTCCAGATCGGCTTTTAGGGTTTGGGGTTTCTCAATAGCAGTTCGTTGCCGGATTTGGGTCAGCCAACATCTCCTGTTTAGGGTTTGGGGTCTCCCAGCTTTTCTGGTTAGGGTGCCGAACATGCACACTTCGATTCTGCTCGAAACATACCCGATTCTCGGCCTACACATCACGCGCGCTTTCCTAGGCCAGTCGAGTGGGAGAGATTCCATTCTGAGCAGACTTTGTTTGGTTCATTCATAGCGGATTCCTTGCTCCATGATTTCCTTGAATTGCTTGAGGGCTCCTTTCGTTTAGGGTTTCAGCATCGGTTTTTGTGGGGGTTTGGGGTTTCTCGACAGCAGCTTCTTTGCGGGCGTTGGGTCAACCAACATCTCCTTTTAGGGTTTGGGGTTTCCCAACCAGTTCCTTTGTTTAGTTTCAGCATCGGTGTTTAGGGTTCGGGGTCTCTCAATAGCAGCTTCTTTGCGGGCGTTGGGTCAACCAACATCTCCTTTTAGGGTTTGGGGTTTCCCAACCAGTTCTTTTGTTTAGTTTCAGCATCGGTGTTTAGGGTTCGGGGTCTCTCAATAGCAGCTTCTTTGCGGGCGTTGGGTCAACCAACATCTCCTTTTAGGGTTTGGGGTTTCCCAACCATTCCTTATGTTTAGGGTTTCGGCATCGGTTTTTAGGGTTTGGGGTTTCTCAACAGCAGCTTCTTTGCCGGCTTTGGGTCAACCAACATCTCCTTTTACGGTTTGGGGTTTCCCAAGCATTCCCTTTGTTTAGGGTTGCAGCATCGGTGTTTAGGGGTTAGGGGTTTCTCAACAGCAGCTTCTTTGCCGGATGTGGGTCACGGGTTTCCCAACCATTCCCTTTGTTTAGGGTTTCAGCATCGGCTTCTAGGGTACAGGGTATCCCAATAGGAGCTCTTTTGCCGGCTTTGGGTCAACCAACATCTCCTTTTAGGGTGGGGGGTTTCCCAACCACTCCTTCGGTTTAGGGTTGCAGCATCAGCTTTTGGGGCTTGGGGTTTCTCAATAGCAGCTTGCCGGCTTTGGGTCCACCAACATCTCTTTTTAGGGTTTGGGGTTTCCCAACCATTCTTTTTATTTAGAGTTTCAGCATCCGTTTTTAGGGTTTGGGGTTTCTCAACAGCAGCTCCTTGGCGGGGTTTGGGTCAACCAACATCTCTTTTAGGGTTTGGCGTTTCCCAGCCATTGCTTTTGTTCAGGATTTCAGCATCGGCTTTTAGGGTTTGGGGTTTCTCAATAGCAGTTCGTTGCCGGATTTGGTGGGGTTTCGCAGCACTCCTTGTGTTTTGGGTTTCAGCATCGGTTTTTAGGGTTTGGGGTTTGTCACTAGCAGCTTCTTTGCCGGCTTTGGGTCAGCCAACATCTCCTTTCAGGGTTTGGGCTTTCCCAGACATTCCTTTTGTTTAGGGTTTCAGCATTGGCTTTTAGGGTTTGTGGTTTCTCAATAGCAGCTTGCCGGCCTTGGGTCAACCAACATCTCCTTTTAGGGTGGGGGATTTCCCAACCACTCCTTTGGTTTAGGGTTTCAGCATCGGCTTTTAGGGTTTGTGGTTTCTCAATAGCACCTTCTTTGCCGGTTTTGGGTCAAACATCTCCATTTTGAGTTTATGGTTTCCCAACCATTCCTTTCGTTTAGGGTTGTTCCAGCATCGGGTTTTACGGTTTGGTCAATAGCAGCTTCTTTGCCGGCTTTGGGTCAACCAACATGTCCTTGTAGGGTTTGGGGGTTTCCATTTGTTTAGGGCTTCGGGTTTCTCAACAGCACGGCTTCGGTTCAACCAGCATCGCTTTCGGGGTTCGGGGCCCGTGGCCATGCCCGCGGACACCGCATACAAAAGCTCTACCCACTTAGCTCAGGGACATTCCGGAGCTAAAAAGATTCAAACCGACGATTCTAGCAGGTCTAGCTCCGGCGCCCAATCCAATATGGATGTTTGTGGGTCTTGAGTCGGTTTTTGTCACGAGTTGTCAACTCATTGTGGCTCAGGACAGCGTGGACATGCTGACTTTGCTAGTGTGGAGCTCAGTCTCGTCCCGGATTCCTGAAGGACCGCAGCGTCTCATCTGAAATCGCTGTCTTGTCGTCGAGGTCGAGAGCCACGATGTGTCACCAGATTTGGGGTCGACAGTAGGCCATCGGCCATGAGTAGTTTGAACAGTCTTTTATGCTGGCCTGTTTGCTCATGAAGTCGTGATTGTTCTTCTCAGGGGACACACCCGGTGCCACGATGTTCGCACCTGAGATTTGACTAGCCCTTCTTTGTCCCAGCACATCCTGTGACGCGTTATGCTGCATCCCAGACCGTGCATCTTTGCAACATGCACACTGTCGACCTCCTGTTGTGCAAAACGGCTAGCCTCGTGATTCCTCGCGGAAAATCCGATGCCATGCCCGGAACTAAGAGAAGAAGAAATCTGAGCAAAGGCGTAAGAATGTGGAAGTGGCTTTTATGTCGGTCTGTTTAATGGTGTGCAATTTTAGTCTGAATTGAGTGCAAATTGTTGCATTTAGGTCAAGCGAAGCAAGGCATTCACATAATCAGGAAATAAGTGAACGGAACATGTGGTCAATTCAGTGAAAAGAAAGACAAACGACTCGAGCAAGGTGCGTATCTTCTCTCCACTATGTTATACTGCACTTGAACGGAACAAGCAATAGAATCACGCTGCTTGGCCAGCTGCTTTGATTGAGGCTGTGGAATGCATCCTACTTTGGTGCTGTGAAATGCACGCAGTACTTGCTGGAAGCGTACTCCTGGCAAGTTTCCGGGGCTCATATTACCGCCATGCGTTCGATGAGCTATTGTTAAACTCAGCCACAGGAAGGCTTCAGTGGATGAAGCGGCCCCCTGGCAGGATGCTCGTGTCTCGTACCCTGCACTAGCAAGCGCACCGTTTCAACCCGTGACGACGCGACAGGACAATACGGCTTTGCACTACACGCCTTTGCATGTTGCTGCAAGGCGAGACGTGCAATCAGTTGTATCAGATGGCTTGATGCCTCGTTCGATCGCTTACGGTGTGGTTTCGTGAGTCTACTGCCTGTCTGTTTCCTGCAGGGCGGGAAATGAAAAGTGCTGCCAACTGCTTTTGCAAGCAGCTGCAGACATGAACGGACGATGTCAGGCTCGTCGCAGAATGCGGCAGCATGAGCATTTCCGCGCAGTGCCTCTCATGACAGGTGAAAATAACAGAATGCACGGGAAGGATTCTGCGGCCTCCTTACGCTGCCTCCGGGTTTGTCGGTTCTGGCCGCTGCTGGCCGAGGCACGGCGACTGGTACTTCACACCGCTAGATACCGCTATCGAGCACCGTGCTAAGTTCTTGTCGCTGTGTTGCAATCACACTTAGAAACTTGTGGAGCGAATGAAAACTGAGGATGAGCCAGACTGCAGTCGTGAAGCTGCTCCTAGCTCAGAAGGCAGACCTCATCAAGAACAAGCAGGACGTCCGTCTCACCATCTGACATACGTCATGGCAGAGTTTCAGCAGTGAACACGACATCACATGGTTTGGAATCTGATTGAACGAAGGATGCGCCTGAGCACCTGATATCCTCGCAGGCGGAAAGGGTCGCTCGCAGCGTGCCACAGCGTTATTGCACCCTGGGCTCTCAGTATTGCTGATTGCCGGCTTGTCTTGAGAGGCGAGAGGTATCCATTATCCATCTGACAGCTTGCACATGTTCTTCCCAGAACGTAAGATTGCATCTGAAGGACAAGCACCTCCGGGTCGACAGGCAAGGAACTCGTAGTGGCATTGCCCACTATCGTCGGGCCATCTTGCCAGGTATAACTACTCCTTGCAGAGCCTCTTGAGCAGTGGGAACAGCCGGGTGATATCGGAAGTCGCTGCCGCGCTGCAAGCCGGGCACTCAAATCAGGTGGCTGGTGCTCATTGCTTGACATCACTTGATGCAGGACACTCCTCAACAGGTAGCTCACTTGACCGAGGAGGACATTCCAAGATGTTGATTATGTCTGGCACGTGCCGGTGTCAGTCTCATGGGGCAAAAGAGATGAAGATGGAGAGCCATTTAGGCTCAAGTCGCAACCCACCCCCGGCTTGAGCCACACGGCGTATAACTCTGGTTCGAGAGAGTTACGCGGTGGACTCCGGTAGGCCCTCGCTTCCACAATTCCGTGCACCCTCCTCCGAACCGCTGTGCATAGGCGCGCCAGCACTCCTTCGGACCGCTTCGCGAACAAACCTCAACAATCTCAACATGAAGAGAAATCAACGAATCTCCAACCAAGTTAACCACATTTCGCCAACAGTACAAAAAGACATAAAAAGACTGCTAGTACGCCTGCTACTGTTTTGTCTTCCCGAACCCGGAAGGAAACGCAAGCCCGGTAAACGAACGGCAGCGAGCCTGATCGCATGTGGCTGTTTCCGGGTAGTAGCGGAAGTCTACCTGTTGTGCTGCACCCGTAATTCACGTTCTGAACTCTGCTTTGGACCAGAGAACTTACTGATACGGTTCCCAACAAACATTTGGAGACAGGCAACATCTCTTACTATTGCTTGTAGGGACATCATGGCTGCTTCTCATGTTAGCCAGCTAGGTTATAAGCCTCTGCAGCAGCTGTTCTCATCTAGCAAAATTGCATCCTCCTCGTTCCACCAACATTTTTCTACCGTTCGTCCTTCCAGATTGACTTGAACGGTTTGAGGAATGAATGTGTCAGAAAGACATCTTTGTGCAAACAGCTTTGGGGCATGTTGGGGCCCATCTTCATCATTCGGTATGATCTTCGTCCATGCAGGACATCGTGCGATTTCTGAAAACTCCAGGCGCGCTTGTTCTGTAGCTTCAGTGCAGCTGCAGGGACCCTGGCGAGTGGTCAGTGGTGCTACGGCTAGCAGTTAGTATCAACTAACAGTAACTAACAGCCAGCAGTTGCTAAGAAACAAACAGAACTTGCATCCAGCAGGGAAGGTTTTCGTTCTAGGGTTGAGGTGGAGATGTGGTGGGAGGGAATTGATAAGGTTTCGAGTTGCGGAAAGCCAGTCTTGTGGTGGAGGCAATGCGCCAGTCAATCTGATGAAGGCCCACTTGACAAGGGTTCTTGAACCGAGTGTTGCTCTTTCAATGCTGTCTGGCTGAGTGTTGCTGTTTGAGTGCTGTCCAAACCTGTCAAAACACCCGCTTGTTGCACGCACAACACGCAAAAAACACGCAGAGGACCAACACGAAGGAGGCATGATTCGTTTGAGCCTGTCCTAGCCTTGCGTCCGGGAAGGAGGGAGATGTATTTTCGAGGCTGTCTTAGTCGTATATTGCTTGCGGCAAGAGGGGGAGGAGAGTTTAGTTTAGTATTCAGGCCGGCCAAAATGCATTCGTTTTGCGGCCGGGAGGGAGTGGACAGTGCATTCTCGAAGACGTGCAATATGCATTCTGGTAGTGATGGTGGCGGGGGGGGGGGGGGGGGGACAGCCTTCCAAAACACACTTTGTTTTGCCGGCCGGAAGGGGATGGGGCAGTGCGTTTGCGAGACCGTCCAAAACGCACGTTTGCTTGGTGCGTTTTCGAAAATTCCAAAACGCACTTTGCTTTGCGGCCGGAAAGGAGGGGGCAGTGTGTTTTTGAAGCCTTCCAAAAAGCATTTTGCTTGCGGCTGGGAGGCTTGGGCAGTGCGTTTTCGGGGCAGTGCGCGTTCGATCCCTGCCAAAACGCAGGGCGACGCAGGTTGCTTGCGGCAGGTTGCTTGCGGCCGGGAGGGAGGAGAAGTGCGTTGTCCAATGTTGTCGATATTTTCCAAATCGCACTTAGCTTGCAGTCGGGAGCCTTCCAAGATGCACTTTGCCCGCGGCTGGGAGGGAGGAGGCAGCGCGTTTTTGAGGTCTTCCCAAACGCATTTTGCCGCTGGGAGGGAGTGCCAGTTGCGAAAAGCCTCCTCCGTTGCAACAGGTGTCCTTGCCCAATGCGCAGTTGCAGCGTAGGTGGAAAAGATTGCGGCTGTGCGTTTTCCCGGCCTGCAAAAATGCATTACTTCCCGGCACATTACGTTTTGGATGGCTCATGATGGCTCCAAAAACGCGCACTGCCCAAAAACGCACTCCCACCCGCCCTATCCTCCCTGCTGGCCGGCAGCAAAAAGCGACTGGAATGGCCCCAACAATGAATTCCACCAGTTCTACTGTGCCTCTTAGGATCCTAGAAACGTCGTGCATTTGGGTCGTCTCAAGGTGCGAGGTTTTGACATTGAACAAGGAAAAGATTGCCGCTTTGCGTTTTCCCGGCCTGCAAAAACGCACTACTCCCCGGCACGCCACGTTTTGCATGGTCCCAAAAACACACTCCCACCCTCTCTGCTAGCCGGCAGCAAAACGCAACTGGACTGGCCCCCAAAATGAACTCCACCCCTACTCCCCCAAATTGTCTCCTGGAAACGTCGTGCATTTGGGTCGCCTCCAAGGTTTTCGGTTTTCATATTGAATAAAGAAAAGATCCAGCAAAGTGCGTTTTCCCGGCCTGCAAAAACGCGCTGTGGCAATCTGGACGGAGAAACGGCACTAGTCGAAGCAAGCCACACCAACACGCACGAAACGCAAAAAACACGCAGATATCCAACACGCATGTGTTTTGACTGCTTTTGTGACTTTGGTGCTGTCCATCCAAGCAGAGGTCAACCATCACCCCAGACATCGTTTTCGAAATGTGCAGGCGGTCTTCTACGAGACGAGTCAAATCAAGTCCAGACCTCATGCAGAAAGTGCAGAATATGAGCAAGGTGTCAATTGCAAACATGGACAGCATGGGCACAGCAAAAGCAACGCCGTTCGGCTTTGCTTTGCGCCTGTTGGTGTGAGCTCAGGTATTGGAAGCCGGCCCAGCAGACCAGCGCCTCGTCCCGAGGCGAAGGCCGGTGACAGAGGGCGCGCGTCTTCCGACGTTGCAGAAGAGGCCATACAAAAGGCGGTTGAATTGCTGTTGACAGCGGGGCGTCTGGAGGGGCGAAACGATGGCGAAACATACTTGGCCTCGAGCGGCACTTCTGAACCCGACGACCCGACGACGCAAAGTGGATAGTGGGTGAAAGAGGCGTTTGAACGCAAGGAGCTGATGTGGGGAAGACAACCTTGAAAACGGCGAAACTCATCGAGGTCTGCAGGCAAAATGTTTTGAGCATTGAACAAGTTAGAACGTTCCGCAAAAGCCTCTCTAGAAGGCATGTTTCCATGTGTGCTCGCTAAATCTGCTGCGGGCTTTGCTTTGCTTGGACAGACTTCTATCCTTCGCTTCATGTTCAAGTCTCCACACCTCACGCATTCTCGTCAGTGCGGCCTGTCCAATCATCTCCGCGAGGAAGCAACCTTGTCTCTAGAGCTCTAGGGTAGGCTTCGCTTTCCCAACAAGGGGGCATGCGATGAATAGGTGAGCCACCCAGTACTGAGATCAGAGACATGAGGTACGGCATATCCAGCAGGTTGGTAGATTCTTTGGTAGATCACAGGAGCCAACAAGCTTGCATCCAGGCAAATACGACGAATATTTTCGTCCTGGACTCGGCCTTCATTCGTTTCGAAGGTTCAATGGCTAGAGAACAGTCCCCATTGCCGAGTCGTGCAAGCAATGACCCGCGCAATAGACTATATCACTGGTTCTCAGGTCCGGAATACATCATGAATGTCAAGCAGAGCGACACGCGCATCTCGGCTGTCACTCTGCAAACTCTGAGATGGTCTCGCTTTTTCGGTACAATCGTGAGGAGTCTATGCTCAGTCAGCCTGTGGCTGAGTGCCAGTGGTGCTGCCTGCCCTGACGCTGTATCAATCGATTTATGACTTTGCTCCACGAGGCCAACATTCGAAAAATCCTTGTATACGGAAAGGCAGGACTGCGAGATCTATGGGCCTTCGTCAGCCTTCAATTCCAGATGGGGGGCCGTCTCTCGAGGTCCAGCATGTAATCAACTTCACCGAGGGGCCGTCGAGGGACGATGTGGACAAGCATTGGAAAGACAGAAGAGTCTTACGGGTGCGCCGATTTAGGCTCAGACGTGCAGAGCAAAGAGTCTCCGGCTGTCGCACCGAGGATCAAATCCCAGAGTTCGTTCAGCGAATTGCGCCCCAGCCGGAGAAGGCCATTGATCTGCGACGCCGTTCTGTCCAGCCCGAATCCTCACAGGCATCGGCGTACTCAGGCTTGGGCAGCCTTTTCAGGGAGAGAGCCCGGCTTAGTGGGAATGGCGCCAACTCGCATCTGAGTCACAAACACAGCAGCTTTGAGCAATCGGCAACTGGCCTGCGAGGTGTGTACCTTCCCGTCAATTTTTTTGTGTCTTGGCAACTATGCAAAATCCGATCTTTCGCCAAAGCCTGCGAAAGCCGAGGCCTGCCTTGTCGCGAACTTGCACCAAAGCGAGGAGGCCTCACACTGAGTCATGGACAAAAGCCACGCTAGGCCGCTGTCAGCAAGGACCAGGATCTCCCTTGGATTTTCTGAGCCAAGATCGGACGATCTGAGGTCTTGCTTGCTATTGCCAGCTGTCCGAATCAGGAGAACTTCGGGGTTGCAGATCACGACTGGTGTCCTTGTCCAGCAGCACCATGTTCCTTGGAGGAAATCTTTCGCCTGCGTGAGTGTGAGGCCATCGTGCCAGGAACCTCACCGCCGCACGCAGCCAGCAGCTAGCTAGCTTGTGCGATTTGCGTTTACTCTCAGGTCTTTCAACTGGACCACAGTCAGATATATTCACTTGTCAGACCTGGCAATTCAGGCTTGACAGTCTCGTACCATCTTGTACCACGTTGGGGGCGCATGCCATTTCGACATTTGCAGGCAGCCACCTCGTTATTGCTGCTTTTCAGCATCTCAACATTGCGAGATGAGGCTTCTGACTTCTTCGCGGCAAGCCCGCGCCAAAACTGAGCATTCGGTTTAAAGACTGGTCTCAGGACCCAGAGTGGTGTGCCAACCTCCCCTGGTTCGTCCAGCACTCGATGGTTGGTTTCAGTTCACACCCCTCAACTTTGCTTCAGCATGTGAGGCCTTGTCAGGTCTTCCCTTCGTCACAGCAACCGTCGTCATGAGGCTCTGTGAGGCGAGGGACGTCCAGCCGTGATTGTGCTTGGTGGATTTGGTGGCATCTACGTCCAACCCAGGCAGTGGGCAACAAGATGAGGGAGCCATGGGAAGTCTACACGGAGGCAGCACAATCCTGCGACTCCAACTGCTCGGGCGGGCTTTCTGATCTGATTCTGACCCAGCTGCTTCATAGAACCTTCTGAGATTCATGAGCGACGAATTCCCGCAATATCGAAGACCGTGAAGCCTTGCCCATGGTAGCCGCGGTGCATGCGTGACTGCTGAGTCAGTCTAGCTTCGCAAGAGCCGTCTGCAACACCTTTGGCGAGTCAATCCACGAAATGCAATTTACATCCACCAGTGCTCAATGCAAGGCCATGGAGTTGGCCCTGGCTATAGCAACCATGGCACTGTTCATCGTCGTGCCCTTGCCATGACTCCACTCTCGTGCTCACGCTTTATGGTCACTGAGGTCTTCATGATCCCACCCACAAGCGGCCCGCTAACCTGCGCGGATCGTGGGGTCGCGGGCCTCCAAGACAGAACGGAACCAAGTCCTTTAAAAGTTCTGCTTTAGACGACTGCCCTGTATCCTTAGGTGGATCGTCTGTCGATGCGAGCCGCCATCATTGTGACGAGCTCCCTGCGATTGATGCACAACATTGACATGCTGCCTGGGTCCTTCCAGCCGCCACACCCATGGCGCAATATCTAATTCTGCCCAGGAGGCTAGCCTTCTCAGAGGTGAACATGATCGTGACACCGATCATTTCAGCTTTGGCTCGGTCACTTCCGCACTTGACCCAGTTCGGAGCGTGCTGAGCATCATCTTGCAGTCGCCTGGAGTACAGCGAGAAGCCTAAGTGAGCTGTTTGTACTGTGGAACCTTTAGCCGAGCTTAGCGCGTTTTCCAGTCGCCTTCACTCTGCTAACATGAAACTTAATGCAACCATTTACCAGCCTCAACACAGCAGGAAAACGTCCGTGAAGAAACCACAGTGATGCATCCATTGCAGCATTCCCGGTCGAGCTTGTCACGGCTTTGCTGGTTTAGAGCAGGTCCAGCAGGGTGTAGCACGGGCATTGTAAGGCTATAGTAACAACAGTTCCAAGACTGGATGCAACTGAACCAAGCGACCTTTGCGAAGCTCTAGCTGCGACAGCAGTCAGTATGTGCGAGTTCAAGGCTCAAGGGTTGGCCGAGATGTCCCGCTTGCGCTCAGGTTTTGCATTGCAGTGATTTACTTCGCAAGGGCCACGGCCAATGCTGATTGAGTGACTGCCTAATTCTGTGTGATACATTGCATCATGAAGATGTGCTGAGGCGTTTATCATGTGGCAAGCATACTGGACCTTAGATGTGGAAGAATGGCAAAACGGCTGGAAGGTTGGCGGCTGACGTTCCTGACAAGATGCAACCAGGCTTGCAGATGTTCCCGCTTCCAGGCAATTATTATTGCTTGGCGTTTCGCTGTCTTGGGCGACTTCGAAGTCGAAGAGCTCGAAGGTCAAGAAGGCTGCGGTCCCGTTTCACGGTTCAAACATGTTCTGACAGTCTGAGGGTAGAGCATGCAGGCACCTGGCACCAGGCAAGGCAGATTGGCGGTGCGAGTCGCCCTCTGCATGTGCTGGGTGTTGAAGAGGCTGCCGATGCGCCGATGTGGACTTACGAGGCTCGTGCGAATAGTGGCCGTAACGAAATCTGCAGAACTTGTGCTACCCCCTTCTTCGTCCTATAGTCTTCGCTATGGCTATATGCCAATCAGAAGCCCGGTACAGAAGTGAGACAAGGGAGAACCAGAATGTGCGCCAACAGTCGGTTACTTTGAGTGCTATTCAGGGTCGGTTAAAAGATACCTTTTTATATGATTTGAAAGGAACATTTCATAGTGGTTTTTTCTATATAAAATCATGTCATTGTCATGCATCGCAGCTGTGTTATCATTGTCAGTGCATGCTGAAAAGCCTAAACCCTAAAACCCTTAATAATATTCCGTAGCAATTACTACATACATAGGCCCTGGTACACGACTGATTCCCAGACGTGTGGAGCTTGACTGACTTAGTCAAGCTCCACCACGTCTGGGGATCAGGAGTGTACCATATCCTAAATTAAACCCCCCAAACCCGAACCTGGCTCACATCTTAAACCTAAACCCTTACCAAACCCCAAACCCTAACCAAACCATAAACCGCCTCCCTAAAGCTTCCTAATCAACCCCTATAATAAGCCTGAACCCTAAATTTACTAAACCTTCCTGGCCCCTAAATACCCTGAAACCCCTAAACCCTTAATTAAACTGTGCTAAAGCTCCTGGGACGACGTCGCGATCGACTGGGCCGGGGCCCTGGCACATCGTCTTGCAGGGAGGGGGGAAATTTTGGGGGGTGGCGGCTGCCGCAGCGCCGCGGGAGGGGATGTGCAGCGGCTGCCCCAGCGCCGCAAGGGTTGGTTGGTGTGGAGCGGCTGCCCCAGCGCCGCGGGGTTGGGGGGTAGCGGCTGCCACAGCGCCGCGGGAGGGGGGTGTCAAGGGGTTTGGAGGGGGTGTCAGGGCAGGCGGGGCGGGAGGGTGTGAGAGGGTTTTGGGTGGGGTAGCGGCTGCCCAGCGCCGCAGGGCTGGGGGGCGGGGGAGGGGTGTGAGAGGAGACTGGGGGGTAGCGGCTGCCGCAGCGCCGCAGGGTTGGGGGGCAGAGGGGTGTGAGAGGAGACTGGGGGGTAGCGGCTGCCCCAGCGCCGCAGGGTTGGGGGGGGAGGGGCGAGAGGAGGCTGGGGGGTAGCGGCTGCCCCAGCGCCGCAGGGGGTGAGAGGGGTCTGGCGGGGGGGTAGCGGCTGGCCGAGCGCCGCAGGGAAGGGTTGGTGGAGGGAGGCTCACAGCGTGGAGCTGGAAAGGATATTTGGGGGGGAGGGCGGCTTGTTCCAGCGCCGCAGGGTGGAGGGGAAGGGGTGAGGTAGTGAGGTGAGGAGGATTTGACATTGAAGGGGAGGGGTTGGGTTGGTCTGGGCGGGGGGCACTGTTTGCGAGGGAGCTGCTGTTGTTGGGCTTCTTCAGTTATTTGTGGGCTTGCGGTTGCTCTTAACTTGATTTCTCCGATAAAATTGGAACGATACAGAGAAGATCAGCATGGTCGGTGTGCAATAAGGATGACGAGGGATTCTGTTCTGAAGGGTGCTGCTGTTGTTGGGCTTCATTTGTGGGCTTGCGGCTGCTCTTAACTTGAGGTGATTTCTCC